TTGGTGGAGAAAATGCGCGGGGTTTGCTTGGGAATGGTTCCATCAGCATTTCTGGCCACAATGTCACGGGTCTTTGACAAGTCGACAAGACCCTTGACGTCGTCAATCGAGCGTTCTACCATGCAGGCTTCATCGAACACCAAGCCTTGTTTGGGGCCGAAGCTGATGTCGCGTAGGCGGTCCAGACGATTGATGAAATGAAATCCGGCTTGTCCTACACAAGCGTGCATCAATGCGCAGGCGAATTCCGTCTTACCTAGGCCGCCGCGTCCCTCCAAAATCAAAGTGACCTCTTTGAAACCACCTTGCAACCACCAAGCCAAGCGCTCATGGATCTGCGGCAAAGGAACAAAGCTGGACAACAGAAAATCTGGAACGGCCACGAAGCTTCCAGAATCCATGTTTTCAGCATTCCACGCACTCAAAACTTTGTGAACCAAACCTGCGACATTTGCTTGGGCGCCGAGTGTGTTCCAGAGCGTCTCATCTCCTGAAATCTTTCGTGCTTTAGCAAGCTGCCAAGCGTCTTTGCAAGTTTGCACAGAATGTTCGACAAATGCATCCGTAATTTCTGAAAATGTCATCAAGGTTCGCTTCTTTCCAGGTTGGCCATTACGGGCTTCCATCTGGGGTACAGACTGTTGACAAAGTTGCATGAGCTGTGGTGTGGTCACATGAGAAGGCCAATGCCATGGATCTTTGTCTAAGTCTGCTGCAAGCTTGTGAGCACTGGCCACCAAACAATACTTGAGGTACGCTTGGTAGACGACCAAGTTGAAAGAGAAATGGCCATGCACACCACCCTGCGCAAGTAGATGACCCAGTCTTACATGAGCAAACGGCCTGACAAATTTGAAGATGAAGTGTTTGTGTCGGGCTCGTTGGCCCGTCTCCTTGTCATACTTCTTGTGGGGCTCGTCAAAGACATGCAATCGACTGATATTCGATTGCTGGTTGCATTTTGCAAGGGCCTGAAGGAACATCTTACCAGCTTCCTCGTTGCTGAGATCCGCAGGAATCAAGCAATTGCGAGATTTGCGGGAAGCTGCATCTGCCAGGTACTGACGGGGACAAGGCCAAACAAACTGTCCACAGCGAGCACGGGCTTTAGGATCTGCGGGCTCGTCAGCATTGGAGGAGGACTCGCCCTCAGGACGAAATATGTTGTTGAACATCTTTAAAAACTGCTACACATGCGAACACCGACGTGCCTCAACATCACACATGGGTACATCCTCATCTGAAGATGAGGAGGACCCAGACGTGGGCGAAGAAGACATGGCGGGTTTGCCACTGGAACTGGGACTTTGAACTCAAGTTCGGTTGTGGCTAGTGAGACGCAGCTGGCTAGTTACGTTGGCAGCTGGTACTTGTTGCCCCCTCTCAACGCGAGCCCACAACCTTCGCAATTGTCGACAATATGTCGTCATGGCCACATAGACGACTACAGCTTGCAAAAAGGACAACTGTCACACGGAGTCCGGGAAATATACCTGCTCCACGCACATACCGCGAAACAAGCGGCCAAGATGACAACTGTTACGAGGATTGTGGTTTTCACCGTGCCAAAAACAAGCGAACATGCTCCGCCCACAGCAAAACCGTGTGACGGTGGCCATTTCCGGACTGGAATGTGCCAAAATCCAAGGAATATGGCTTCTCTACAGCAGAACCGTGTGACAGTTGCCACTTTTCGGACACGAATGTACCAAAACCCAAGGAATCTGCTCCGTCCACAGCGAAACCGTGTGACAGTTGCCACTTTTGAAGCACGAATCTGCCAAAACCTAAGGAAAACACACATTCCAAAATAGATTGCCAAAAATCCGGACCGGGAAGGGAAAATCGTAACGTTGGAAACCTTGTAAAAGATTCGAATTTTCTTTCTTCCAGCACATTCAACGTTACGATTTTCTGTTCTGGATCCGCATTTTTGGCAATCTAAAAAGGCCCCCTGCGCGCAAAACCAAGAGAATGTGCTCCATCCACGGCGAACGGTGTCACGGCGGCCACTTTTCGGACAGAAATGTCCCGCAACCCCAAAACAACGTCTGCTACTTTGATTTGGTTCTTTAATCCTAAAGCACTGTTTCTGCTGCTTTGACCCGTTAGCCAGACTCCCAAACAAGAACGTCTGCTGTTTGGATTTTGTGGTCACGGTCTCACCCAAAGCACGTCTGCTGCCTTGACTTTGCTTTGCGACTCCAAACGCGCTAAGGATGCTTTCGCTTTGCCAGGGCTCCAAAAACACGTCTGCTGCCTCGATTTTGCTTCGCGACTTCAAGTGCGCGACGAAAGCCTTCACACATCTTCACACTGCTTGTGACCGTTAGCTTCGCTGCTCCACCCCCTGTTCTTACAATACTTGGACTTCATGCAGGGACCCTAGAACACTTCTACTACTAACATCCCTGCTTTCCAACCCCACTGGCACGAACCGTGGTTTGACTTTCTGCCACATCCTCAACATCACTCCTTAAGTAGGATAATACAAGATAAACATGGCGTAATGCAGTCTGCAACCTTATCTTTTTCACGGCAAGGTGCATCGTGAGACGCAAGGAGAACTTCAAAAGCTTTGCAGATCCCAGAAGATCTTCAGCCGCTGCGCTTCTCTACAACAAGGCTCAGCAAATCTTCCTCCGACAAACGCTTCGCTGCCTGCTTTGCCTCAGCTTGACAGCAATTACAGAACCTACAGGTTGACGCAACTTCCTCGCCTTACGGACACGGCGCTGTTCTTGCTTCACTTGCTTCATGACCCTTCGGGCTTCTGCCTGGAATGCAGAAGATTCAAAAACGAGGACAAGCGGGAAGACCTCACTGAGACAGAAACCTTTGCAGCTTCACGCTCTTGCTTCAAACGCTGTAGGCGGGCTGACAAGCTTTCCTTTCAACTCTGCTTTTCGGTCACTGCTAATTACCTTCGTCTAACACACATTTCTGTCCAACCATGCACTCACAGAGCCTGGGGCAACTCGACTCGCTCCCTTACAGGAGGGTCGGAAGGAGCTGCTGCGGCTTCTTCTGACATTGCGTACCAGAAGTGCAGAAAGCGGAGCCAAAAAACTGCACCAAATCATAGGTGAGCCAAGAGGGCCTCTCCTGTCACAGTTCAGCCGCGCTGCACTGCAGCATGCAAGCATTTACTTTTGCATTACTCGAGGAGCGGCATGATGTGCTCTGGAGCACCGATCCAATCGGTATAAACGAGTTTATACCGCCGCGGTAGGAGAGTCGCGAGCTCAGCAGGCGACAGACGCCCGGGCTGGCAGCTTAAGCGCCCACCAGAAAAATGCTTTGCAAGATTCTGGTGCAAATTCAAACCTTGGTTGGGAAGCCCAACCAATGAAAAAGCTTGATGCCACGGCTCGCTTCGGAGCCAATCAATCGCCTGAAACAAGATGTGAAACCAGGCATGCGCTGTTACGGGACCTTGTTGTGCCATTCGATAATCACGGAACAAACACTCCAATTTCTGCTTGTAGCGTGAGAAGGCGTATACGTCCAAAGGCTGCACCAACGGCGTGCAAGCGGGGGGCACTGGTAGCAAAAAGATGCTCTGCAGACGAGCCACTCTGACAACAGGTTGCGCCCAATGCACACTAGCTGCGTCCATTAACAAGATTGGCTGAAAGCCCATTCCCGAAAACTTCGTGCGAAACACGTATCCTATCAGTTGGATGAGCCACACCATGATGTCGGTGCTGTTCCAGGCGCTCCTTCGGCGAAGAAGCCAGACATTGTCGGGTTTGTTCACATTAAGCTGACGGAGTAAGGTCTTTGTAAGCTTCCGCGTGTTGCAGATCAGCACTTGTGGCAAATGCTGTTGAACTCGCAACACGGGGGATAGCAAGGCAACATGCGTTATGCCGCCGCGTCGATCACCCTTGGGTACCATCACCTTTGGCTTTTCCGACAGCGTCAAAGACACCAAGCCGCTTGCACTGTAGTAAGAATACTGAATCGCTGTTTCATCCAAGTTGATGAAAACAGGCACTTGGCTCTCTGGCACTTTGCCTTGAAGCCAATCTGCATGTCGCCAGAAGAGGCCCACCTCAGAGGTGTGCAAACTGTCCGGTTGGCGGGCCCCAGTTTTGGGACCCGATTTCGGAGCCCCGAAGCGGGGCCCGAAACGCAGCTTTAAATCATTCAGAAAGCAAGCAGCCTGGGCTGACCCCCAAATCTGGGACACCCCAAAGAGTCCGAAACCGGGCTCGAAGCTTGTGGACAAACTGATGTCAGATAAGCAAACTTTAGCCTTTAGCTGCGTCCAAACGACCACACTGCTGTGGTGACAGAGAAAAATCTGAAGCAAGAAGGAAATCACGAGAGCCCCGTCCAACATATGCCTCAATGGCGCATGAACCCAAGCACCAGAAGTGAAACCTCTGGCACTGAAAGAAAACAATCAATCCCACTCCATTGCGCCTTGGCTTGTATTTCATCCGCCGGCAAATCGTCCAGCGGCCGCAATGCACCATACCTCAAACACCAGCGCTTTCGAAATCTCCGCGACCACTTGCGCAGATTGCGTCGGGTGCTGGATGTTGCCTCCGGTCCATTCGCATCTACCACATGGTCACGCAACCTTCTGTTCAGCAGAGGCGCACCCAGCTTCTCACAGTGGTCCAGATATTCACGTGCAGTGCGCAAAGACGTGGGTGCCACCCCATGCACGCAGTTCATTTCCTGTACAAAGCCATTTGCCTTGTAGTTCGCAATGAACCGCACCGCCTCACGCCGAACACCTACATCTTTTGCTGTGACAGGGTCCTCGACCTTTAGCAGAACTTCCAACTCGGTACGCAGATACAGCTCTTCTATGAAGCATTCTTGCTCAGGCTGTTCCATGTCTTGGCGCTTCGATTTTGATTTCAAGAACTCGACGGCCAGTAGAACGTTGAAACCGCTCAAGACATACACTGCCAACAAAACAATGCATTGGCGCGGGTTTAAACCAGCATTTGCCCAGCATTGCTTCTCTGACCGACAGAGTCGCGAAGTCGAGCGCACCTTCTTCTGCAGCGCACGCACCTGGAGGGTGTGCACAGGAGCATGCGTGACACAACGACAACAGCAAAAACCTTTGAGGCAAATTCGACACCTTCTCACGAGCTTCCTCAAGAGCAGACACATCTGCAACACGCTTCATGAGCGTGACTGTACAGGGCAGTCTATGTTTCTGATGCTTGAGCCTCCTCGGACAGGAGAGGCCCTCTCGGCTCTCCTACATTTTTGGCATGTTTCCGTGCACCACCTTTTGGAGCTCAGCTCATGGAAACCGCTGAAGACTCTGTGGCATGATGTGCACCCACGCCCGCCCAACATCACTTTTGGTGACCCGCAACTTGGCTTTTACCGGGCTCACCACAGGAATTGACAAGGAACAGCACTGCGGCGCGAAAACAATGCAGGGCGGCCACGCAACGATTCAGATGGCCAGAGTCAAACTGCAAATTGTTGCTCGGCACTGTTGCACGAGGCAAAGCATAACGTTGGCAATGCGCTGTTCAATGAAACGAGGCTTCTGCAAAGCTCAGCACCACAGTCACATCGAAGACGGACAGTCCCAGCCAAACTCATTGAAGAGCCAATTCTCAACGTTACGATTATAGCTTTGGCATAGCAGGCTGGCACAGCCTTCGGGGCGTTACCCCCGCGGGCATGGAGCATCAGTTTTTAGTTGCTCCACACCAAACCTGTACAAGCGCCAAAAGAGTGAGACGAACAGCGGCAGAAGCCACATACAGAAAAGTGAAACGGGAGCTGGACCGGTGTGCATAGCACACTTTCCATTTACACGTAAATACAAGTCGACGCAAACTCGTTTGCTGGACTTGGTTGCCTTTGATTCGGAACCACAAGCATCGAAGCTTGATGGTGAAATTCACGTTTGAGCCAAAGAGTTTAGGGTTCATGGATTCAAGGTTGAGACTTGGAAGTTGCGCTGTCAGCACGTGCTTGCAAGCACTTGAGCTTCGAACCTGGCTTCCGTCAAGACTGCTACAAAAACACGCGAGTTGCAAACATGGTTTTGCCGCAAGCTGTGTCGGTTGTTCGCATACCTGATCCAAACATGCTGGCGCATGCACGTCCGTTTTAGTCTGGTCCGAGCTGAGGGCTGTCGTCGCACATGGACCTGAGCCAGGCTTTCACAGAAGGAAACTGAGGCTGCCAGTTTGCGGCTTCAGACGTTCTGAGTCATTCATTCACCCTCAACGAAGCGGGAACATGATGCCAAAAGAACGTCTGCTACTGATTTGGCTTTCGGGCCTCTCAAACACTGTCTGCTGCTGAGACGTCTCTTTGGGTTTTGTTGCCAGAGTCTCAAGGCCCCAAAAAACGTGTCTGCTACTTTGATTTCGGTTTCGGGCTTGCAGGCCCCTAAAACACGGCAACTGCTTGTGTCTTTTCGAGCTGCTGCATTAAATCTGTGGCCATACAGCCCATAATGAACGTCTGCTGTTTGGGTTTTGTTGCCAGAGTCTCAAGGCCCCAAAAAACGCGTCTGCTACTTTGATTTCGGTTTCGGGCTTGCAGGCCCCTAAAACACGGCAACTGCTTGTGTCTTTTCGAGCTGCTGCATTAAATCTGTGGCCATACAATACAGCCCATGATGAACGTCTGCTGTTTGGATTTTGTTGGCAGAGTCTCAAGGCCCCCAAAAAAACGCGTCTGCTACTTTGATTTCGGTTTCGGGCTTTCAGGCCCCTACAACACGGCAACTGCTTGTGTCTTTTCGAGCTGCTGCATTAAATCTGTGGCCATACAACCCATAATGAATGTCTGCTGTTTGGATTTTGTTGGCAGAGTCTCAAAGGCCCCAAAAACGCGTCTGCTACTTTGATTTTGGTTTCGGGCTTTCAGGCCTCTAAAACACGGCAACTGTTTGTGTTTTTTCGAGCTGCTGCATCGAATCTGTGGCCAGACTCCCGAAAATGAACGTCTGCTGTTAGGATTTTGTTGGCAGAGTCTCAAGGCCCCCAAAAACGCGTCTGCTACTTTGATTTTGGTTTCGGGCTTTCAGGCCCCTAAAACACGGCAACTGCTTGTGTCTTTTCGAGTTCCTGCATTGAATCTGTGGCCAGACTCCCGAAAATGAACGTCTGCTGTTAGGATTTTGTTGGCAGAGTCTCAAGGCCCCCAAAAACGCGTCTGCTACTTTGATTTTGGTTTCGGGCTTTCAAGCCCCTAAAAGCGGCAGCTGCTTGTGTCTTTTCGAGCTGCTGCATCGAATCGGTAGCCAAACTCCCCAAAATGAACGTCTGCTGTTTGGATTTTGTTGGCAGAGTCTTAAAGCCTTCGAAACCGCGTCTGCTACTTTGATTTTGGTTTCAAGCCTTCAAGCCCCTAGCACACGTCTGCAACTGTGATGTTGCTGTCAGGTCCAAGCAGCTGCAAGACTTCCAAAAGGAACGTCTGCTGTTTGGATGTTGCTGCAAAGTCCCGAAGCCTCAAAAGAACGTCTGCTGCTTTGGTCTTGCTTTCACGCCCTAAAACGTCGAACACAAGAAAGAGCTCCTCTATCTCTCTCTCTCTCTCTCTCTCCCCCTCTGTCTCCCTCTCTCCGCGCTGTGGCTTGCCATCGGACATCCAGCAGCAAACGCACGACTTCGACCGTGCTGCTCTTACACGCGAGCACCAATGCAGAACCGTGATTGTTACACATCTGTTTGTCGGTACCCGCATGCAGCAGTAAACGCACAACTTCAAAGTGGCCGTGGCCCACCTCCATCAAGGCAGTGGTACCGGAGCTGTCAGCTAAGTTCTTGTCGGCACCGGCCTCCAGCAGCAGGAACTTCACTGACAGCTTCACTGCTCTAGAGGCTCTCAGACGTGCTTCTGAGTGCTGATGCCTTCAGCTGTCAGCTAAGTTCTTGTCGGCACCGGCCTCCAGCAGCAGGAACTTCACTGACAGCTTCACTGCTCTAGAGGCTCTCAGACGTGCTTCTGAGTGCTGATGCCATCAGCAAAGTTCTTGTCGGCGCCAGCCTTCGGCAGCGAACAGACGACATCAACCGGATTAGTTTTTCGTCTCCACTTAAGCACGTTTGTGCCGCTACGAGCCGCCTTCGCCAGCATCTCGGCCACTTTCAAGCGGCCTCTGGCAAAGTTAAAGAGCATTGCCGCCAAACTGACTCAAGGCCTCCGATCCCACCTTCAGCAATGCCAGGACCATGTTCAGGTGACCTTGCAAGGCAGCTTTCACAGGGCGGTGCTGTTGCGGGTGCTAGAGGTCTTCTGCTGGTTCGTCGGCCTCTCACCCACTTTCAAAACGGCCCCTGGCAAAGAGCACTCGCCAAACTGACTTTCGGACTGCAACATGGCTCCAGCCTTCAGCAACGCAGGACCATATTCAGGTGACCTTGCAAGGCAGCTTTCATGAGGGCTGTTGCGGGTGTTAGCGGTGCGCTTCTGGGGCCTCAACCACCTTGATCTGCTTTTGCGAAGCTGCACATTCTCGAACTGATGCTCCATTGCACGTCTCTTTCTGCATGTCTTCTTAAAACAACATCGTACTGTTTCGTGGACTGCCACGGCCAAAGTATTGCAAGATGCTGGAGCAAATCGGAAAAGCACTGATACTCGAGATATGACAAGCTTCGATCCAGAGGAGGGAGCAGAGCTCCATCAGTCAGCCACTCTTTCTCAAACCCGACTTGGATCTGCAGGCGATGCTGTGACTGTGTGCTGGACACCAACGTCAATGACTGGAAATAACATCCAAAAAACGTCTGCTGCGTAGACTAATCACAGCTCCAAGAAGCTTCTGCGTTCAACGAGGACTAGTCACATTTCCGCTAGCCGTAGGCTTGCTCCAAGAAGCTTGTGCGCTCAAGAGGCGCTGTCAAGTAACTGTACAGAACCTAGTTACACACACTGTACGCACTGCAACCTGGGTCTGTTTCACTGCAATCGAAACGTTTCCCGAAACCACTTCTGCTGGTTTGCCTTTGTGGCCAGACTCCCCAACAGAACGTCTGCTGTTTGGGTTTAAAGTCTCAAGGCCCACAAAAACGCGTCTGCTACTTTGATTTTTGTTTAACGCTTTTCAAGCATTTCAAACACATCAGCTGCTTGGGTTTTCTCGAGCTGCTGCTTTGATCTGTGGCCAGATTCCCCAAAATGAATGTGTGCTGTTTGGGTTTAAAGTCTCAAGGCCCCCAAAAACGCGTCTGATGCTTTTATTTTCGTTTCGCGCTTTCAGGGCCCTAAAACACGACAACTGCTTGTGTCTTTTCGAGCTGCTGCATCGAATCTGTGGCCAGACTCCCGAAAATGAACGTCTGCTGTTAGGATTTTGTTGGCAGAGTCTCAAGGCCCCCAAAAACGCGTCTGCTACTTTGATTTTGGTTTCGGGCTTTCAGGCCCCTAAAACACGGCAACTGCTTGTGTCTTTTCGAGTTCCTGCATTGAATCTGTGGCCAGACTCCCGAAAATGAACGTCTGCTGTTAGGATTTTGTTGGCAGAGTCTCAAGGCCCCCAAAAAACGCGTCTGCTAGTTTGATTTTGGTTTCGGGCTTTCAGGTCCCTAAAACACGGCAGCTGCTTGTGTCTTTTTGAGCTGCTGCTTTGAACTTCTGCCAGACCCTCCAAAATGAACGTGTGCTGTTTGGATTTTGTTGGCAGAGTCTCAAGGCCCCAAAAAACGCGTCTGCTACTTTGATTTTCGGTTTCGGGCTTTCAGACCCTGAAACACGTCAGCTGCTGGTGTTTTTCAAGCTCCACGGCGAAAAGGATGCAGCATTCGAATTATGAATTGCGTGGCAGGCACAACCTCACATTGGCTCGCGGTTGTGTCCAAACACATCCTCCTCGTCCTCGTCCTCGTCCTCCTGGCGCAGAGGTCCATGGGAATTCGCGAGCAAACGGATGTCCTCGTTTACACGCACCCACAGAACTCGTCGACTGATGGCCGTATTGTGTTCCACCGTGCCGACTTCTTTCGGCCAAAAGCGATCCCAAGTCCAATTGGTGGAGAAAATGCGCGGGGTTTGCTTGGGAATGGTTCCATCAGCATTTCTGGCCACAATGTCACGGGTCTTTGACAAGTCGACAAGACCCTTGACGTCGTCAATCGAGCGTTCTACCATGCAGGCTTCATCGAACACCAAGCCTTGTTTGGGGCCGAAGCTGATGTCGCGTAGGCG